TTTTTTTTTTTTTAATTACCAGGATGCTGGGGCCGGGCAGGGCAGGGATCAGGGGGCCTCAGGGGGCAGGTGGGGGATAGGGCTGGGGCTGGGCGGGGCAGTGATTGGAGGGGCTGAGGGAGTGGGCGGGGAGAGCAGGGGCCCCCCCATAGTCCCCTCCCCACTCCTCCAGCTCCCCCCACACCCGATTTACCGGTAGGAGCCCAGGTCCAGTTTCCTGTGGCGGGCACGCTGCCTGCCCTGCACGGGCAGGCAGTGGGCTTCAGCACTGGGTGAGGGCCAGCCAGAGAGACACTCTGGCTGGCTACCAGAGCGCCCCTGTGGAGGACCAAGCCTCTGGTTGCCTCAGGGCATGGTCTTGGACCATTCCCAAAATGACCAACTTTTCTTCAGCTTTGTGGATGATTTGGAGAAGGTAAAGAAAGGCTTCTTAAATCTCCTTAAGGATTTACCTGAAGCAAAAGATGGAAACTGTATTTAAGGACCCCCATCAGCCTTTACTAGATTATTACACTCCCTTAAGACTTCCAAATGATGGTAAAGTGACATCCCTCTCCTGTACCTGTTTGGGAAGCTGAAGGGGCAGCACACTGTTGAGCAGCGCAGCCCATTCCTCAGAGCAGGCTAGCAGCTCTCCTCACCCACACATTACGGGGAGGTTAGTGGCACCACCTCCCTCTCTGTGGTGTGAGTAAACATGCTACCAGATTCCCTCTTCCCAGGAGCAGAGGGAAGGTAAGCAGTGCACACCTTTCCTAGGAAGAAGTTTAGCGCTGTGCCCTTTTCCTTTTGTTAGTGAGGTTAGTTGTCCCAATGCATGTGGGTGGAGAGGGATTAGCAGCACATTCCTGTGCCCATGGGTCCCATCTGAGGACTGTGCATAACAGATTCATGACTTTTAGAGGCTGAAAAATCCTGCAAGTTATTCCTATCTCCTCTCTGAATCTGTGATTCCCTGTTGCTTTTAGTGGGGATTGGTCTCCTATTTGATTCCTTTGCACTTCATCTGAACCAGCAGTAGCAGCTCCCCAGATTTTCCACATGTTCCTGCCCTTTCTGGTTGAGCTGTCAGATGTCTCACCATCTTGTGAGGCCTTCAGGGCAGTACTGAGTCTAACTCCATTTAAACTAAGAAAGGAAATGTGACCATATTTTCTGTAATAATGGCACAATATGAAATTGCATAAAATCAGCTTAAAGTGATTTGAAGAGGTAGTTGACATACAATATTGTTGAGACATGTTTAGAAACATCTTTGTTTTTAGTTCAATATTTTCCATGCAAAACCAACACTAAAAAAACATCGTTTCTGAAAACAATTTGGCAACATTTTCTCTGTTTTTGTTACCAGTTTGTTTTCTGACATCCAAAACCCAATAATTTTGGGTGGGGAGGGGAGGAGAATAGAGGGTTTGGCTTCTTATTAAAAATTGGAAAATGTTAATCTAAGTGAACAGCTCTTGTGAAAATTTTTGTTTTGGGCAAAAAAAGTCATTTGAGAGGTCCAAATATGTTTTGAAATAAACATTTCAACTATATTTCATTCTGAGATAGTCTTATTTTCTCCCAGCAATTTCCACCTCCCTCACCAAGATGGCTGTATGTGAAGCCATCATCACTGCATCCTATCTACGTCAGTCTGTTATGAGCCCCCCCATGTGAGTACATGTGAAAAATGCACTTGCTTCCTAATTCTAGAATTCCTATTATTACACAGATTGGGTACTTTTCATACTTGAGGACTTGTCTAGAAGCAACTTTAAAAGCTTGGGTGAGGAGAATGTTCCTGGTACCATGAAAAACACTAGTGCTTTATGGGAAGTCACTGAATTTATCAGATATAGGGTCTTTCCATGAACTTTGCAATTCCATTTGGATTTGGGTCTGCTTGTGAAGCAGCCCGCACATTTGGATTGATGCTTGGGCATCCAAGGACATGTCTGTGCCAGAAGCAGTGAAATCAATTCTGTTTAAACAGTCCCCTCCCATTGAGTTATGCATATTTTAGCTTTTCCCTAGCTCTTGTGATCTGCATTAGCACATGGAGAAAATAGAGAAAAAGAACTAGGAGATGAAGAGAGTGTGTGCCTCTGGTCATGTGATGGCCCCATTCTGCTCTCAGTAGCTGGCAGGGGACACATCACAAATTGTCCAGATAGTAAGGGCAAAATGGTGCTGAGAAGGCAAAGAGCCCAGCCCCAGTCTTCTGTAGCACATCAGTGCTGGGCTGACTCACTGCTGGTCAGGCAGAGCTGCACTGATTGCTTGTTCTCCTGGTAAAGCTGCATCTTCTCTTGGTTTCTCCTTTGCTGTTTGCTGGGTCCATTAGGAAGGGTAAGTAAGTGTAAGAGGTGGGGAAATTATATCAGCATAAAGGGAGGGAGAAGAGGGAAGGAAGAAGAAGAAGGCAGAGGGAAGCAGCTAATGGGAAAGGCCAGTGGAGGTGGGGCCGGGGGGGGGAGGAATTTGCTATTTCAATACAATCTCTGGTTCATTTGACAGGCTGGAGCAATGGAACCTTGTCCATCAAGGGTAAAAAGAGGTCATCATATGACAGGGTATCATCACAAATCTCCCCAGCATCTGCCTGCTGCCATATGTAGAGAGGAAGGAAGCAGTACATCACTCAACATTGTGATATTGCCACTATTGGCATGGAATTATTTTTTTGTATTTCGTTTTTTAATATAATTGTTTAGTTGAATAAACTATTGGTTGAAAACACTGTTTTATTTATCCTGAAACTGTTGCCAAATTCAGGTCAAACTTGGCAAAGAACTGGTGTCTAATAAATAACCAGCCAACCAAAGGGCATTAAGCATGCTGCCCTTCACTATAAAGTCCAGAAGTTAGAACATTCACCTGGGAAGCAGGTTCAAACCCTCTCATGAACTCATTCAGAAAAAGGATTTGAACAGATGTAGTCTACTTCTCCAGAAAGTGCCCTGACTACCAGGCCCTGGGCCCAGCTGGTCCCGGCTGAACAATCAGGATATTTCTGGGACCCTGGGTCTGTAGGAAACAGCTCCCACCCATTTCAGCCTTTAAAAGCAAGCCACAGACAGCTGGGCAAAGGCTGTGGTGCTTGTTCCGGACCCCTTTGTAGTTCCTTGACTCTACTTACCTGAAACTCTGACTTAGGTTCAGGCAAGGTAAGCCAGAAGTGTCTGAGTTGTGGCTTTCTGTGACCCCGGCTTGACTCCTGGCTCCTTGTGGACCCAGTTTTTAGACTTCACCTGATTAGCCAGGTGACCTTCCCTATATGCCCACACTCTGGTTCTTAACAGGTGGGACAATCCCCTTTGTACACAATGCTTACACATTCTTGGGTGAGAGTCCAAACCACTGGCCTGCTGTAGAGCTATTTCCATGCACTGTTATCTTCCTAGAGGAGGTGCAGTAGGGTGACCACCTTTTCAAAATGGAAAGGTGGGACACATGCCTAGTTCTCCTTCCCCCCCACAACTTGCAGCACAGCTGGAACAGAGCTGAGTGGAGCGGGGGCGGATATGGGCTGCCTGCTGCAGGCTCAGGGCTCCCCACCCTGTTGCCTTTCCCTTGGAAGCCCCATGCCAGCTGTGCACTGCCTGCCTGCCTGACAGCAGCAGGGGACACAGCTCCTTGCCACCATCGCCCCCGCTGCTCCAAGGCAGGCAGGGGGCACCTCGCCATGGTGGCATAGCCAGCATGGGGTTCCTGAGGGGAGGGCAGCCGGGTGGGGAGCCCCGAGCCCGCAGTGGGCAGCCTGCATCTGTCCCCACCCCATGCATAAATCTGGGGTTGCATGTGCCCCGTCCATGGCCTCCTTAGTGGCAGGGAGCTGCTCCCCCCCACAACCACCTGGATGAGCTGCCCATGGCTCCATCCTCTCCTGGCCCTGGTACCCATGCACATCCCTGGCTGGGCAGCACCCCAAGGCCCAGCCTCTGCCCCTGCCCCACTCCCTACCTCACCATGGAGACCCCAATATGTCACCCTCTGCCCCTCTATGCTCCCTCTTCCCCATAGATTTACCTGCAAGGACCTGCTGCCCATGCTGCCTGGCTTTATTCCCAGCTATGGCAGTGTGTGCGGGCATGCAGATACACCTGGCGCCCCCTGCGTCTTGCTCCTGGCAGCCCCTAGCAGCCCCTTGCAGGCTGAAACACTGCTAGCCTGCAAGGGGAAACCCCCCGTTTCCCACCATTTTCTGCAGAGAACAGAAAACCTGGATCCCTGTACAATACTGCAAATCTGGGACAAATGTTGTCTTGGAGTCATGCAGCCCGAGACCAGGACTTGATGTTCCTATTCCAGGACTGTCCTGCACCCAATTAGGGATAGGTGGTCACCCTAAGGTGCACTGAACTGTGGGATGTCACATGGGTGTGGAGTGAGGCCTGGGCAGGACTTTGTAGACATTGTAAAAACACCCACAGAGCCAGGAGTTGAGCTGTTGGTAAGTGGAAAAACATTCAATAACAAATTATGCTCCAACATTTCTAGAATGCATTAATTGTGACGAAGGGTTTTTGAACCTGAAAGCTTGCTTAATAACTTTTCTTCAACTATTTGGGTTGGTCTAATAAAAGATATCAAATTCACCCAAGGAACCTTGTCTGTCTTAATTGTGACCAGGGCAGTTTCTGAACAGCCTTACCCACACTTCCAAGACTGGCCAGCAGATGGCTCTCTTTATTTTAGCTTTCTCTATGCAATCCCAGGACATCCTGCTTTGGTCTTTGTCAGCTTGAGAAAGCCAGGGGAGCCCAATCATCAGGCCAGGGATGCTGCATGAGGTGGGAGGCACCCTGGGCTAGCTACTTTCTCTTAGGGCAAGAAGGGTGCAAATGCCAATCCCCATGCATATGGGCCAGGCTCACCTTTCAGAGGTTGGGTTGAGTCCCAGGCTTGAGATCCTGCTGTTTTGATTGGTGGAGTCCATCCACCAATCAGGAGGCAGCAGGAGAAATAAAGTCACGCCCCTTTCCTGAGGGGAGGGGGAGAACAGCTCTCCCAGACCTGATTGAAGACTGTAAACTGTCAGGTCTGAAGACTTCAGGGGCGGAGCCCTGGAGGGTATAAAAGGAGCTGCGCGCCCAGCAGAGGGGCAGATGCAGTGAGGGACTCAAGAAGAGCGGAGCTGGGAGAAGCTGGGGAGCTCTCCCCCAGTGGGCAATAGGTCCAAAGCCCCTGAAGCTGCCACTGGAAGAGCAGCCTTGGGAGGGGTGTGAGACCGCTTGGGCTGTTGACGGTGCACAGGGACGTGCGCGGAGAGCCAGCCCTGGGAGCAGTGTGAGACTGCTTGGGACCATCATGGTGCACAGTTTGGTGCACGGAGCCCAGGCTTTGGGAGTGTGGAAGCCAGTCACCTAAGATGGCTCCGGAGACCATTAACTTTGAGGGAACTTTTACGTAGGCACAGAAGTGAGCGGGAAGTATAAGGACAGTGGAAAAGTACTGTGAGGTGCCAGCATAAAGAATCCATTTCCTGATTGACCATATATGGTACCGTTGTTTGCGTGCGAAAGTTACTTGCATTGTTGTATAAAAGCTGGAGCTTGGCCACGCCCAGGCAGAGTTGCCTCAGCTTCTCTCACTGCTAGCAGTTAATAAACTGAGTGTTCGGAAGAAATTTCAGCGTGGCGTTTTGTTCCACGACAATTTGGAGGTCCCACTGAGATGTCAAATGTCCAGCCCAGCTGCCAGATGTTTGGCGGCCACCTGGGAAATGCAGACTGCCAGCACTATGGTGAGGCCATTGTCCTACCCTGTCTTCCCTGGGCTGGCTATTTGAAGCTGACGGCTGTGCCTGACTACGACATCGAACTTGTTGGTTCACACTCAGTTCAGGTCAGGTCTGGGTTCTGGAACGGTGGGGGTACGTATGTTGAGAGATTGTCTTGTGTCTTTCCCTTATGTCTGGTTCACAGGCAGCCGCCCCAAGTTGGCCGCTTGCGAGCCAATCTTGAAAGCAAGGGCTTGTGTTCCAATTTGTGCATTTCTTTTGTGTCTCTGGCACCGGGCATTGCTCTGACGAACCCGTTTCCCCTTCCTTTTATGTCTCTGGTAAATCTCTCCTGGTTTCTATAATGGGTGGGGGAGGCTCGATTTTGGTCCCCCCCAAGGGTACCCCAGGTTATTTTATGTATGCCCATTATGGAGAAAGGCCTTGTAGGTTTCTGAACAAATGGAATTGGTATACCAGGGATGATCTGTCTAAGCAATTTCCCTTGCAAGGTACTTTTGATATGAACAAAATTGTTCACCTTCGAGGAGCATTGGAGCCCAGGGGGAGAAAGACCCCTGACACCCAATGGTCAGCGTTCTTTGATTGGTATAGTGAGGCTTCTAAACGTGACACAGTCTAAATTGGCCTCATTACGAGACTCTGATAAGACACTAAAAGATAAATATAAAAAATCTAAAGGCTCATCACTAAGCGCGCCACCACATGATTCTGGCCCGATGCCCCTTTACCCCAGCCTTACAGACTGTCCTCAAAAAAACAAAACAAAACAAACAGCCCCCCCCCCCCCCCCCCTTAACAAAACAAACAGCCCCCCCCCCTCCCCCCCTTATCCGATACCCCCGATCGAGGGTCCTGAGGAGGATGAAAGGGGTCCTTTAGAAATTTCCGAAGATGAGGATGAGGAAATTTTGATGGCCCTGAGAAGGCATAGCCAAAAGTGCCCGCCAAAACCCAAGATGGCTTCTGTATTCTCTCCAGTGGCTGACCACACTAAACAAAAGGCTCAAAAACCCCTTGAAATTCCAAATAAGGATCCAGATAACCTTTTTATACAAGCCCTTCACTCTTTTGCCACGAAAAGGAGGGTTGCGCTTTAGGGGTCCTTACATAAGAACAGGGCGGAAAACAACGCCCGGTCGCCTATTTCAGTACTTGGTTGGATCCGGTTGCCCAGGCTTTCCCACCTTGCTTACGAGCAGTAGCCGCAGCGGCTAGATTAGTTCAACAGTCTAGAAATCTTGTATTACAAAGTCCTTTAAAGCTAATGGTTCCCCACTCTGTGGAGACTCTGTTACTGCAACCTAAGACCCAGCATCTTTCAAACGCCCGCCTCAGCAAATATGAGATTTTGCTTCTTTCCGTGGCTCACATTTCACTATACCGCTGCAGCCTTTTAAATCCTGCAACTCTCTTACCTCTCCCCACAGAAGGGGAGCCCCACAATTGCCTGGAGTTAGTCTCCTCACTAACAACACCTCGACCAGACTTAACAGATATCCCATTGCTAAATCCCGATCTTGTTCTTTTTACAGATGGCTCATGTTATAGGGCTGATAATGGGGACCTAGTTGCAGGGTATGCTGTTGTTACTCTCCATGAAACTCTTGAATCAGCACCTCTTCCAGGGGTTAAATCTGCTCAAGTGGCTGAACTGGTTGCTCTCACTCATGCTTGTTTCTTATCAGAAGGAAAGTCTGCTACTATATATACAGACTCTAGATATGCCTTTGGTGTTCATGACTTCGGACAAATATGGAAAGAGCGAGGTTTTTTAACTTCTACGAGTCTCCCCATAAAAAATGGTCCTTACATTGCCATGCTTTTACAGGCCCTTCTACTACCATCATGATTGGCTATCATAAAATGTGACAGTCACTCTACAACTAATC